AAAAAAAAAAAAAAAAAATCACATGGGTGTTCATATTTATTTGACCTTAACACCTTATTACAGTTTGGATAGAATCCAAATTACCATTTAGAAAGAACATAAATTTATAGGGACAGTATAAATTATTCTTTAGATAAAGTTTTTCAAATCCCGACTTAAATATATTTTTTCAAAAATTACACGAAAACACCACATTTTTATAATTTAGATTTTTCTATTATTTTTTGTACATTAACATATCTAAATTGTTAATTTATTAAAAAAAATATCAAACACAACTTTGAGGATAGTTCACATAAAATTTTATACTCTAATAAAAAATTTCCATTATAAAATTAACCGATAATACTATCTAATTACTCATGTTTTTTAGGATTAAAACAAATATTTTTTGAAAAAATCATACTAAACAATCTTGTGAAATTTTGTTAACTTTTTCATACCTTCTTATATTTTGGAAAGCATCAAATTTATATGGGCTATTTAAATTATTTTTTCAGATAAAGGTATGGAAAATTTTGACTAAACAACGTGTGAAATTTAGTTAACCTTACAGAAAATACACGACAACCTAAACAATCGTGTGAAATTTAGTTAACTTTTCAGAAAATACACGCAATTGGTTGTCGAAATATATCTAACTACAATCATTATTTTCATTATTTTTGTTATATTAACAATTGTAAATGGTTAACCGATTTTAAATAAATCAAACGCAATATTTTGAGTTAATATCTTTTACTACAAAATTCACCGATAGTACTGTCTAATTACTAATTTTATTTTTCTCTTAACATATTTAGTAATGTCATAAAATCACACACACATTATATATATATATATATATATATATATATTGTGCATGTATGCATTCTATTCATTTTTAAAATTTGTCATATCTCATAATAATTAAAAAATCACGCGCGCGCGCACACACACACACACACACACACACATATATTGTGTGTGTGTGTGTGCGCGCGCGCGTGATTTTTTAATTATTATGAGATATGACAAATTCTAAAAATGAATAGAATGTATACATGATTTATTGTGAATTTGTTTAAATATTTTTAAATTAGTTACAAAACTAAATAATATTAATGTATATTAAATATTTATCATTATATAGATATATATACTTATATATATAAAGAATACTATTTTTATAATAATAATAATAATAATAATAATAATAATAATAATAATAATAATAATAATAATAATAAAGACATTATACGACAATAACTTTTTTTAAAAAATAATAGTTGGATATTATAATGAACAAAAAATAATTAAATTATTATTTTTTTCTATATCAAACAATAAATATAAATGTTAAAATATTAATTATTAATAAAAACGGTTAGCAGGCTAATATATTACATAAAATTTTAAACAAATGTTTTAAGAAATAAGTCTACCGTTCATCGCACGAAATAATGTATAATAATCGCAAGGAGAATAATGGTTTGAGTGGTTGCAGAATTGAGGCGAGGTTGGCAATGCAGTTTGTTAGAAGCAACCAACCCAACTTTATAACACAAACGGAGAGCATGTGAATAGATATATATCATATAATATCTCCAACCAAATTAAAGGGAGAAGCAGCATGTGATGTGAATAAACACAAACATCACTAGCTATTCACTACTATTTCCTCTTCTTTCCTCTACTCAATATAGTTGTAAGTAAAATTAATAAACAAATATGAGACTATAGAAAGATAGGAAAAAAGTTTTTTTATAATGATTGGGAAAATAAAGTCAAACTAGCTAATTATTCTATGTAATTGTGAAGATCATTCTAATTAAGCTTCAATCATTAAATTACATAGAATCATGTGTGATTAATAGATAAGGCTTCTTCTAGATTGACTTAATAACGGTTAAAATAATTAATTAATTTGAATGAGAAGTGTTGAAATATTTGAAAATTATTTCAGAAAAAAATTTAAAGACCAAATGGAGCCCTCCCCTTCGGAAGACTATTATTGGAGCTCAAATCGTTTCCTCATCAGATATTATTCTGATTTCAGTGGCGTCATTTGACATCTCGAGTGTACTCTTTTTGAATTTTCGTTTGAAAAATAAAATCACAAAAAACTTTAAACAAATATTGGAAATACGAAGTTGGTCTATATTAGAATACAATATCATTTGTGAGTTGTCTCACATTGTTTATACAGAAAAAATAGACCAACTTATAAGACTAATAAATTACTCTTCCTTTCACCAATTGGTTTTGGGATGGAACCTCACTTGAGCTTATACATACCACCGCGTCACGCATCACGTTAAAGAAACAAAAACATATAGACCCCCACATATGCCAATCCACTAAAAGGAAGGGTTTACTGTACAACCCTCAAAAGAATTCTTGAATCATTTTGTTAAAAAAAAAA